GGCTTTTTAGCCCCTACTACAGCGGGACCCTTCTTTCTGGTTTCGATTGTAGCTGCAGTCGAGGACTCAACCCTTTCAACGGCCCTAGACCTCCTTCGTTTAGCTAAATGCAGCTCCATATCATGAGCTTTAGTGCATAGATCATTGAATCCTTCAAAAGTTTGAGCCATAAGAGCCGTAGAGAGCTCATGTCGGAAGTTGTTAAGGCACATCCGAATTAACTCTAATTGTGTAAACTTTTGAGGACAAGCAAATGTCAAAGCTCGCCATCTTGCAATGAAATCTGTAACAGACTCATTGTCACGTTGCTTGGTCTCAATCAGTTCTGGTACTCCAACTCGTCTTTGTGTGTTGCAGAACTGTTTAAGGAACTCCTTCACCATGGAATCCCAATTTAGGATTGATCCCTCAGGAAGGTTAACATACCAAGTAAACGCAGAACTTTCAAGTGATTGAACAAATAGTTGCAAACACAGGGCCTCATTCTGGGCTATTGGCCCGCATCTTGAAAGGAAATGAGCCACATGTTGTCTTGGATCTCCTGTTCTATCAAACATTTTGAAATCTGGTTGGGAAAAACCAGAAGGGAATGGAACAGCATCTACCCATGCTGGGTAAGGTTTTGTAATTATTCGAAAGTTCTCATCATCTTTTTCTTTTACTTTCTTTACTTTTCTCCTCACTATATTATCAATCATGGCCATGAGCATTGGATTCATACCACCACTGGTTAGATCAGAGTAACAAGGACCATTGCCCCCTGGGGCTAGTGTACTTTGTATGCCTACAGATGTCCCCACAACAGGTTGTGTCATTTTTTTGGGTGCACTTCCTGGTCCTGTCATTTGGGCCTGCAGCTGTTGCATTTGCTCCAACATAGCAGCCATTTCTCGTTCTCTTCTCTCAAGTTGTTCCTGTAGGGCCACCACTTTTTCCTTGAGACCTTGGTCTTGCTAGACCTGCGAATTTTCACCTTCTTTCTCAACCTCAGTCATCATAACTGCGACTTTGTTGATATCTTTCAATTCATTGTTTCCAATATTCGTTGAAACAAACGAGATAGAATCATCTTGTTCGTATAAAGGATTATCAACCCCCACAACATTATTCATATTTGAAGCATCTAACTGCGATGCTTTGTTTTGAGCCTGACGGGTTATGGACCTTGTCACAGGCCCTTTTCTTATTCCCTCCATAGATAGTTCAACCAAAGTAGAAATATTTCCCAAGGGTTGCTTACCCTCCTCCACCTTGGATTTTCCAACAAAGACAGGACTTTCAATTTGTTTTTGGGGTTCATCTTTCGAGAGAGCCCTTTCAATAGCTCCTATAACATTTGTTGCCACTGTTCTTAGTTCCAGTTTCTTTAAAGCCTTATTTCTTCTTCGCCTTTGTCTTTTCGAAACTGGACCGAATGGCATATCAAGTTGAGCCCCCCGGGGCATAGAAGGAACCGTTTGCGTTTTTGCAAACTCATGAATTTTCAAAACAGTCCCTACATTTTTAGAGTGGACCAATTGATGTTGATTCAAATCCCGTTGGGCCAACAGGTGTTTGTTATTCGAACCTTGTCGGGCCAACGGGTGTTCCTTATTCAGTCGGGCCAACGGGTGTTTCTCACTCGAACCCTGTCGAGCCAACAAGTGTTCCTTTGGCTCTTGAGAGTTGACTGAGATTTGGTTTGACCGATTTTGTGCTCTGAACAGAACTATCGGTTTGTAGGCCACAACTGTTTTTTCAACAACAGGGGCCTTTTTTCCATCAACAGGAGTTTGGGTCATCACCGGCCTCCCAATGGCCCTAATGATGGCCATGTTTTCAGCAGAGGCTTTCTTCTGGGCAGACTCCACCATTTTAATGGAGTCTTCTACCCTTTTGAGTAGTTGGGCCACAACATTTTTTGTTGCCCCCGTTGAAGCTGCAACAAAAGTCGTAGTTGCAAACTGATTAGCCTCCTTTGCCTGAATTAGAAAGCTCTTCGTTTGGGCTGTGGCTCTCACAGTTGCGTATTGCTTCGACGCTTTCACATAATCTTCAGTAGTCTTTCTCAAACTTTCAGCTTTCTGGAGAAGTGTGACTTTCTTCGTCACACCAGTTACCTTCGGGACAGCCAAGAGCATTCGCTCCGGAGCCCCTTGGGTGATAGGGGAAAGAAGTGCATCTTTCTAGGATTTTGCTGGTTCTATCTTTGGGACAGCCAAGAGCATTCGCTCCGGAATCCCTTGGGTGATGGGTGTTATCTCCAACCTTGGTGATTTCAGAACCACTGGAGTGTAGGCTTGTCTCCTAACAGTCGCTTCAGCATTCCTATAACAAAAGAATACGTCAGTAAGTTTCAACTATATATATATATATATTTTTTTTGTTCTTCAAAAGATGGGAGGAGAAATAAGGTCCCACTGAGCGTGCCAGAATTTGTAGACACAAATTTTAAAACATGAAATGTTTAAACACATTTCAAAATTTATGTTACAAATATCCACTGTTTAGTTTTTGGACTAAACAGTGTTGATTATTTGAATAGCAGGTTCTTATTT